AAAATTGAAAAAAGAAAAAGTCGATAGTGATCTATTTTGAAATATTAGATATTCAAGCAATGTTAAAAGATATTAAAACTCACATATTAGAACCAAAATATAGATGTTTGTAATGATCTTTTTGAAGTGCAATAAACCTAAACGTTTAGATAGATGTATGAGTTAAATTGTGTACAATTAAAAGAATAATATATTAGGAAACAATGAAATATAAAAATACCTAAACAACATTATGAAAAATTTCTTTGAAGATAAAAGATTCTTGCCTGTTATGAATTAAAATTTTCAAACCATTATTATTTTTAACTCTTAACATAACTATATAAAGTTGTCTATGACTGAACACATCCTTTGGCAAATATATAACCAACAAAGTCTAATGATTGTCATTGGAATTTGTTAATTGTCATAGCAAATGAGAATAATGGAGAATTGTCTTTTAATAAATTTGAACGGCTAAAGAGATTGAGAAGGGGACAAAGACATTCTTGAAATGTAAATAGTGTTTCTTATATGTGTACTTGATATAATCTTTTGCTTCGATGACATGACTTGCTAGTCTAGTAACGATCAATCTTGTACCATTACACATTCTTTCAGATTGATCCAAATTTTGTATCAACATTATAATTGTGTCAATCTTCAGTTTCATGGAATGATTAGACAATCCTGAAGTTTTCAAACAGCTTAAAAATCCGAGTGTCAAATGTTCGTAAGCATCATTGTCATTAGCTTCTGATCAATAGAATCACTACTCAAATACTCTTTTGCGTCACCTTAATTAAAGAATGTAGAGTATTAATTTAACAAAATAAATTCAAAAAAATTAGGTGAAAATGAATGATGTATAATTAATAGTTACCTGGAAGAAAATTTGTGACAATCATTTATTTCATAAAAAATCTCAATAGGTGATGCTAAAATAGCTCGACTTTATAGATACCTGTATTTGTGTAATTTTGAAGGAGATTTGGATAAGTACTTGTAACAATTTTTTCAATAGGGTTCACATAATTTGTTAGAAGTAACTCAGGTGGAATAGATATTTCTGCATATTCATCGTTTGGTTTAGAAAGTTGACCATCCCTTACTTGTAAAATCCATTTAGAGAACAATTTAATATCTTCTGTATTTCTTGAATTGGACCCAGTTTCCAAACACATATTTTTGGTAAGCTTTAGTACCTTGCAATGATTCCAAATGTGTGAATGTCTTTGTCTCTTAGATAGATGTTTTACATGATGTCAAAACTAGGATAAAGATGGTTTTTTTGTATATTGAACGGTATCTCAGAGTCATTATGTGTACCCTTGCATTAGGGGTCTTAAAATACATCTAGAACATATTTGAAAAGGTTGTCAACATGTATCATGCATCAAAAATAATTATCTGCATAAAAATCAGTTGGATGTGTCAACACATCCATACTATGTTCGACACATGTAGTGCACTAATAAAGCATGTAGGTTATGTAACTATGTGTCGACACAATGACCTCATATGTGTCGACACCTGTCATTAAAAATATATTTTTACATAAAAATCATTTATATGTGTCGACACATCCATTCTATGCGTCGACACATGTCCTCCTGTTTTAAAGTCTGTAGCTTATGCAACTTTGTGTCAACACATTAACCTCATACAAGTCGACACGTGTCATTACATGTGTCGACACATAACTTACATGTGTCGACACGTGTGTTAGAATTTTACAAAAATGTTTTTTCCTTTTCAATCTTTTGGGTTTCCCTTTTTCCTCCAACTTAAACACCTATATATACTTTATACATGCATCATTTTTAATTAGATGAAACTATAAACACATACTAAGATTGTTCATCATCTTCAACCTTACATCTATGCATACACATAAACAAAATACACATAATCATTCATTGTTTGGGTGTCATTTAGACTTGAATAATAATGTTCAATTTAAGTTGGTTGTAACTTAATATTGGATTGAGAATCATAGAGGGTTTCATCCGTAAAAACCAAGTATTTGTTCTCCAAGATCATTGTGGATTTGGGTGTTATTTCAATAAAAATCAAGTTGGGGTTTTCCTTCAAGATCATTGAGATTTGAAGGTTTTTGACAAGAATACACATTTGTGGATTCGATCGAGTGAAGAGCTTTGAAGACGATGAATCAAATTGGTAAATCTTGGGATCACTGTAACATGCAATTGGATTCGATCGAGTGAAAGCTTTAAAGACTGTAGGTTCTTGCAACGGAGTAAACGCGAGACGCTGAATCACTTGGTGTTAATGGGCAATTTGGTCTGCACAAGATCAAGGGGAGAGACATTGCAAGGATCAACAACAAACATAGAGTTTGTAGGTTTGGATTGCTTCATTTCTCTTGTAAAATGATATATTTTCATAGTAAGAAATTTATCTCAATTCCAAATGAAATTGAGGACAGACGTAGCTATAACGAGGACGATGGGTGAACTTCTTAAATAAATCCTCGTATTGTTCTCTCTCTCTCTCTCAAACTCTTTGATTGTGCAGTTGATTAGTATAGACAAATCCTTTGTGCAGTTGATTACTTTACAATCTATTAGATTGTAGGAGGTTTTTTATACCAACAAAGATCAAAGGGAAATCTGAAAAATTAAGTGCGCACCAAGTGTTTGATAAATTATTTCACTTAGTTTTACCAACTGCACACTAAGTGTTCGATAAATTGTTTCACTTAATTTTACCATTTGTTTAATTGGATATTGGTTAGCCTTGTATTTGTAAATTAATTACTTGAGAGTTTATTGCATTAAGATCTTATTATCCTCATTCAATTGAGTATTAATTTTACGTATATCCGAGCCTCCAATAATCGATTCGGTTTGGACGACTTATGATCTAAGATACGACTTCTGCTTACCATAGTGTTTACTTAATTTTTTAAAATAGTTTTTAAAGTAAAATTTTCATTGAGGATCTATTCACCCCCTTCTAAATAAGTTATCGTCGTCTAACAAAATGTAGAATGTGTTTATTGTTGAATACATAATATCAAATCTAGTTCTTCTTGGTACAATGGATAAAATTCAACTGTGTACATATCTGAAATTGTAATTCATAAGTTATTATAAATATTATTATCAAAAAACATCTGACAATAATAAATTATCTAAGAAGACTATAATATGAACTTACATATAAGTACTTTTCCCATGACACCTTTCTTAGTCACATTAGTTAAGAGGTTATCAAACTTCATCTTAAATACTCTAGCAATGATATTAAATCTATCTTGTGGCTTAAGCTTGAGAGGATTCAAGGTTCTTTGAATTTCAGACCAATTTGAGTTGCATGTGAATGTAATAAATAGGTTAGGAAAGCATAATTTATTACAAATTAACATGCCATCATAATACAAATGATCCATAAATCTTTGACTTCCCACATAAGAAGATGGTAATATGACTCTTTTTCCTGTGCTTGAACCTGGTGTTTCACTTTGATCTCCATCTTCATTTAGAGTTTGATACTTTGAAAGTCTAAGTTTGGATTTCTTTTTCCGGAGCCATTTCAATCTCTCTCCCTCAAGCATGGTGTAACCGTCAACCAAATATTATTGGAACAAACGCCTAGATAATAACAGAGTTTTACCCTCATAAGATCTTGTTTGAATTCAAAATGCCAACCACTCTCTACTAGTAAGTCTGGTTCTTAGATTATCGTTGAAGATGTCAAGATCTCGGTGGGCAATATTTGGTCTATAACCATCTTCTCCATAAGGAAATATCAAAGGATATTGATAAACCAAATAGATTACATGAAACTCATCAATAAGTTTAAGTTTCCCCTTTTTTTTGTGAAATTATGGTATTCAAATCTCAGATGTCCTAAGAGATGTCGAGACACTGATCTCTGAACAACAACACAATGAACAATTTCAAATAATAAACAATGCAGAAAAATAAAGAAACACATAATTGTTAACCGAGTTCGGTGTACAACAACACCTACTCTAGAGGATACCAATCCAGAGACGAAATCAACTAAGTAGTATCAATTTGTAGACCCACAACAAACTCTCACTAGTTTAAAATCTACTCACTTAATCACTACTCATGCTTAACTTCTACCTAAGACTCACCTATGTATGGGATCCTTCTCAAATCTCTTTCAGTCACAAACAGTGACAAGAACACAATTCAAAAGAATTAGAAGACAACCTTTAAAAACACACAATTATTCACTGCTTAAAAGCTTTAGAATTACTGACAGAACTTACAACTCAAAAGAACAATCCTACTCTTTTATCAAGATGGTATTAGAGAGACTCGCAATTAACACAAACCCTAACAAAGACACAAGTAAGTTCCACACAAAAACTAGGTTTGTGACAGTTTATTTAAAGCAATCTTCTGGGCTGGATTGAGCTTAAAAAATGTAGCAAATCAGCTGCTAAAAATCTGCAGAAACTTCTACATAAAAATAGGACTTCAATAATTAGTTTCATAAATTATCTCTATAATTAGAAACTAAGAATACTCCTTGAATTCAGCTTGAATCTCTTAATCCATAAACTGAGTGCCACATAGGATAATATAATATTTCCATAATATTTTGCATCTGTAATAAACTAAAAACATTCAACTATTCAGCGGTACACAGATGCGATGTCGATGACCCTGCATGGAATATCTTGTTCAACATGTTGCTCCAGTTGATCGAACATCTTATTTCAACATGTTTATGCTAAGTTAGTTTTACCAAACATAATTCCAATCACAAAAATAGAGAATTAACAATCTCCCACTTTGACTTATTTTGACTAAGACAACTTAATACTCCTTGCACACATAAACATAAAAAACAACTCAGCTTTGAAAATAAATCAACCATACAAATATCAGAGGCATGTCAACCTACACAAACATCAGAAAGTTAGCAGCAGAAAAACACTTTTATCAGAGTACAGTGGAAGCTACTTATTACAAAAACAAGAGAACAAAATAAATTTTCAACATGCCAGGACATCATATATGACCCCTCTTCACAGCCAGTCCATTCAGAGCCAAACATCTCTTCCAAACTTGCTCAAAACACATCAAAGAATTAAGAGATTCTCCCACTCAATAGCAGTAACACACATTCAACAAAGAATGAAGAATCACCACCTCTTTGGCAAACTTTTAACTAAAACACCTTTTCCACAAACACACCACCAGGGAGACACAACACCAGACAGTGTATATGAGGAAGAGAATGACCTACATCTTCAAGAACAACTAAGTTACTCCTAAAACTCAAATCAATTCTTGTCACAAGGCCCCCCAGGAGAATTTTCCTGTAGCCTCAAGAAACCAAAAAGAATTCTAACTTGAATAATTCAGGTTAGAAGACCATGTGACAAAAACAACACAAATTAGAAGATCGTGTGACAATTAATCAACAAACAACATCATTATATGGAAAATACTATCTACTTTTTAATTTAATATTTTAAAAAATGATTATGACATTAAATATTTATTTATAACAAATCATCTTCATCATAATTATTCTTTTGTATAGAATAAAAGTATGATTCTGACATATATTATAAACAAAAAAAAAATCAAGCTTATTAACAATGATAGTTGAATTTATTTAATTTTTTTTATTTTGGTGGAAAGAAATGTTGTTTAGACGATATAATAAAATGAGATGATTTGGAGGAATTGGGTAAATGGGTTTATTGGAAGTTCCACATCCAATGTGATGTGATATGCAGAAGATATTTTTCACCTTACAAAGTTGGTTTTGTGAGGTTGAACTAGGTCTATTCAAATCTTAAGAGGGTTCAACCTAGGTATTATCATAGAAGGAAATGTAATTTGCTCAAGGATTCATGTTTCTAAGCAGTTTCTATTTCAGTTTTTTTAATTATCACCTTTCTTGGGATATACATTTTGTTATTTGATGATGAAAGGCTTCCAAGAAATAATAAGCTCTCCTTTTTCTTTTTGTCTGGGCTGATGTGTTTATTAATGTTTCTTGTTTCCAAAGTTAGCACATTATGCACCTATATTGTGATAATACGTTTACAGGTTAGGACATTATACACAGTTAATGGAAGACAGACTGAGTTAGCACATTATGCACCTTTATTGTGATAATACGTTTATGGGTTATTATGTTACAACTCAATTCTGATTTTGTTACAGCTATGTAAGTTGCCTTCAAAGAGTGTTTAGATGATCTTTACCATGTTTGGTTCTCAAAGAGTATGAGATGAAGCGTTTGACTATGTTCTAGAATAAAAGTCAACTAAAATGTGAAATTAATTTTTAATTCAATTAACCACAAAAACATGGAACTAAACACAAAACCAACTCAATTCAATTTGAATTGATAGTTAGATGGAAACAAAAGAAAAGCAACATTATGACTTACCATTTATTTTTTGGTGGTTGACAGAAGCTGTATTTTGGTAGTGCTAGGAAGCATGAGATAGAGTAATTTGCCTATGTGTAAGTATTGATGTAGACAAGTCAATTGTAAAAGAGGAGTATAAGCCTTAACTTGAAACCTACAGTAGCTAGCCAATCTCTGGATGTAGTTGGAAAAGGAAATTCATCTCATGGTACTTCAAAAGCAGTTTTTTCATAAGACTGATGTGTTGCAGTTTGCAGAGAAGTTTGTGGCTGAAACTGTGTCAAGAGTTGAAGTGTTAATAGTTGACAGCTTTGCTTTCTGCACAATTATCAAAGCAGTGTTAGAAATTACTACCAATTTGTGTAATATTTTAATGGTAAAAGTCATAGAAACCAGTTACTCGTGTAAAGGCTTGAAGGTTAGTTTTTCAAAATACACATTAGTAGGCTACTTTCTCAGCGATGTTGATATCTATTGCATTTAAGCAGTATAGGGTTAATAGACACTATACACCAACCTGATGCTAATCTCCTGTCTTCAAAAGTTTTTGTTGTTAATCTCGGATAGTTTCAACCAGTTGTGCAACAGTTACGTCTTCAAAATGGCTTAGTGTATGTTTGGTTTGACTTTTGGAATGGCCAAAAGTAATTTTAGAGGTATAAAATTGATTCTGAGTGATTTTGAGATGTTTGGTTTGGTAAAGTTAGAATTGATTCCGTCTCTAGAATTGATTCTACTTGAAGCTAGAATTTGTAGCTCTATCCTCCAGAATTGATTCTGGATGATTTTTATGAAGAGAAATGGGAGTGGACTTTAAATTTGCTTTCTTTATAAAATTGTCCAACTAAATTTTGATATGAGTACAAAGTGATTTATATAGAGATCACAAGATAGAATATTAAATGTTACATCATTAACTATTTCTATGTCCCAAAAGAATAAACTTCTCACTGTCCAAAGAGAATGTGTCTTTTGCATTACCCAAAGCATCATTTGAATTTAACCAACAAAACTCCCCCATAAATTCAAATATTTCTTTGATCCATTATGCCTAACATTTTCTTACCTTTGTCGAATAGCTCCTTCGACAGTGGTTTTGTAAGAATGTCTGTTGCTTGATCCTTGCTTGCAACGTGCTTCAGTTCGATGCTTCCATCCTTCACATGTTCTCAAATAAAATAGAATCGAACATCAATGTGTTTGCTTCTTTCATGATTGACTGGATTCTTTGCCAGTTCGATTGCAGATTTGTTGTCGACTTGAATTATTGTTGCATCTTTATGTTTCGACTCCATCCTGCTCAGCAATCTTCTCAGCCATATTGCATGGCATACGCACCAAGATGCTGCCACATACTCTGATTCACAGGTCGAAAGAGTTATTATGGGTTGCTTCCTTGACAGCCAGGTGAATGTAGTGCTTCCCATGAAGAACACATATCCTGAATGTGCTCTTTCGATCATCTATGTCACCACACCAATCGTTGTCAGAGTAGCCAGTCAACTTGTATTCTTCTGCTTTTGAATAAAACATTCCAAGTGACATAGTTCCTGGGACATATCGAAGGATTCTCTTTAGAGCTTTCCAGTGTGCAAAAACTGGTTCTTCCATGAAACGACTCCCAATTCTAACACTCAGCGAAAGATTTGTCCTTGTGCATGTGAGGTATCGAAGACTTCCCACCAAGCTTCGAAATTTGTTTTCTTCGACACGCTCTCCCCCATCAAATTTTGAAAGCTTGGCTCCTGGTTTCATTGGTGTCGAAATTGGATTGCAACTTTCCATTTTAAACCTTTTCAGAATATTTTTTGCATGTTTTTCTTGTGAGATGAAGATTCATGTTTCTTCTTATCGAACCTCCAGACCAAGAAAGTATTTCATCAGGCCTAAGTCAGTCATCTCAAATTCTTGTGTCATTGTGCCTTTGAATTCTTCTATCATCTGATTATTGTTGCCCAAAAAAATCAAGTCATCGACATAGAGGGCAACAAGCAATAGTTTCTCTTTTTTCTTCTTCACATGCATGGCATGTTCGTAGGGACATTGCTGAAATCCATTTTCTTTGAAGTATGTGTCAATTCGTGTATTCCATGCTCGCGGTGTCTGCTTCAGCCTATAAAGTTCCTTCTTTAGTTTTAGCACTTTTCCTTCATTTTCGACTTTCATGTATCTAGGTGATTGTTCGACATAAACTTCTTCTTCAAACATGCCATTCAAAAAGGCTGACTTGACATCCATCTGATATATTTGTCATTTGTATTGAGTAGCTTGATATATGAGCAGTCAAATTGTCTTCATTCTTGCAACATGTGCAAACACTTCATCATAGTCTATTCCTGCTTTTTGCTTGTATCCTTTTGCCACAAGTCGCGCCTTGTATCTTTAGATTTCACCTTGTGCATTTATCTTTATCTTGAACACACACTTCACATCAATTGTTTGACTTCCTTTTGGTAGCTCTGCTAGTTACCAAGTATCACTGCGTTCGATGGACTTAATTTCTTCATTCATAGCATCCTTCCAATTTTTGTTTCTTACTGCTTCGTCGAAGCTGACATCTTCAGTGTCTTCCAACAAACATACGAGATGCACTTCTTTTGTGTTTTCATACAAGTCTTGTAAGCTTTGCAGCCTGGACTGTGAGATTCCATCTTCATCATTAGAGTCTTCTGGTTCTGTCGAAGTGTTCTTTTGATATAGCACCTGATAATTCGACCATAACTTCAGTCGAATTGATCCAATACCACTTGCTTCCTTCGTTTACTCGAACATCTCTACTAATTATCACCTTTTTGTTTATTGGGTTGAAAAGTCTGTAACCTTTCGTTTTCTCATCATACCCAATGGGTATGTATTTCTGACTCTTATCTTCCAGCTTTGTTCTTCTTTGATCAGGTACATGTGCATAAGCCACACTTCCAAACACTTTGAAGTGAGACACAATTGGATTTCGTCCGCTCCAAGCTTCTTGAGGTGTTAAATCTCTCAACTTCGAATGTGGACATCTATTCTGAACGTAGATTGCACATTGTACAGCTTCTGCCCAAAATTTCTTCGACGTGTTCTTGCTCTTAAGCATTGATCGAACCATGTCGAAGACTGTTCGATTCTTTCTTTCCGTCACACCATTTTGTTGAGGTGAGTATGCTGCAGTCAGAAATCTCCTTATGCCTTGCTCTTCACAGTACTTCAAGAAGGCTGTCGAAGTATACTCCCCACCTCTGTCTGATCGAAGAGCTTTGATGTGTCTGTCTGTTGCTTTCTCCACTATTATCTTAAACTTCTTGAATACTTCGAAGGCTTCTGACTTTTCTTTCAGAAAATACACCCAAGTTTTCCTTGAGAAATCATCAATAAAGGATATAAAGTACTTTTTTCCACTGAAGGATTCTGGGATAATTGATCCATATATGTCAGTGTGAATCAATTCCAGAATTTGTTTAGCCTGATATCATGCCTTCCTTTGAAATGAGGTTCTCGTCTATTTGCCAAACACACATTCTTCACAGAACTTTCCTTCGAATTCTACGTCTGGCAGTCCATGCACCATATTTTTCTTTGCTAACCTCCTTAGTCCAGCCTGATGTAGATGACCAAAACGTAGATGCCACAGGGATGCTTGGTCTTCGACATTGGCTTGCAAACACTTTTCTCGAATGCTTCTCAAATTCAACTTGTACATTCGATTTCTCCCCATTTCGACTTGAGTAACCAGACGTCCTGACTTGTCTTTTAAGTGCAAGCTTTGATCTTCCATGAGTATCGAATAGCCCTTTTCTGTGAGTTGTCCCAGACTCAATATTTGCTTTGAGGTTTGGTACATAGCACACATCTTGGATTGATCCTATCAAATCATCCTTCGACAAGAAACTGATTGTTTATTTTCCTTCGACCCTTACTTTCGACGCATCTCCAAAGGAAACATGATCATCCTCAATTTTCTTTATTTCTTTGAATAAGTGCTTATGACCACACATATGGTTACTTGCTCCTGAGTCCAGGTACCACATAGTGTCATTTTCTACATTTGCTTCCTTTTGAGTCATTAACAGAAATCCTTCATTCAATTCTGTTTCTAGGGCAAGATTTGTTGTTTCTTCTATCTTTCTTCTGAGTCGACAATCTTTTGCAAGATGTCCCACTTTACCACAGTTGTAGCAACTGTGGGAGTTGCAATCTTTCGCATAGTGCCCATGTTTGTTACATTTGTAACATTCGATATTATTTTAATTCAACATACCACCTCTTTGGCCACGTCCTCTACCACGCCAGTTTTGTTGGCTTGACTGTCCTCTGTCGAAGTTGTTATTTTGGTAACTTCGACCACCATTACGTCTTCCACGACCATGTCCTCTCCCACACCAATTTTGAGAGAAAAGTGCATTTCCGTCTCTGTTGGGTTCTCATCCTCAAGTGTCTCCTCGTTCTTTATTTTGTGTTGCTCATGTGCCTCAAGTGAACCAGCGACTTCTTTGACAGTGATTGTCGAAAGATCCTTCGCATCTTCTATTGCGCATACTATATTTTCGAACTTATTTGTCAAAGATCTCTGAATCTTTTCGACAATACGAGCATCAGTCATTGCTTCTCCATTTCGATTGAGTTGATTTTTCATTGTTTGCACACGAGTGATGTAGTCCGACACAGACTATGTCTCCTTCATCTTCATTCTCTCCATTTCTCCTCGAAGAGTCTGCAAGCGAACTTGCTTGACTCTATCTACTCCTTTGAAAGCCTTTTCTAGCGTGTCCCACGCTTCCTTCGACGTAGTTGAACCAGCAATCTTTTAAAAAACTGATTCATCGACTGCTCTGAACAACATGTACAATGTTGTTTTATCCTTTGCTCGCGTTTCTTTTAACACCTTGTTCTGAGCAGTTGTGATTGTCGCCGTATCTGATGGTTCTTCAAACCCATCGTTAGTTACTTCTCATACATCTAACGATCCCAGAAGCGTCTTCATCTGGATACTCCAGTTCTCATAATTCAACTTTGATAATCGTGGCAGTGGCATTTGACCCATCATATGTGCCATGCACTCTGATACAAATTTGAAGAGAAATGAGAGTGGACTTTAAACTTGCTTTCTTTATAAAATTGTTCAACTAAATTTTAATATGAATACAAAGTGATTTATATAGAGATCACAAGATAGAATATTAAATGTTATGGCATTAACTATTTCTAGGTCACAATAGAATAAACTTCCCACTATCCAAAGAGAATCTGTCTTTTGCATTATCCAAAGCAGATTTGAATTTAACCAACATTTTACACAGAAATTTATTGTTCAACTGACTTTTACATAAATGTATTCAAACATAAATCAATTTTGCTAAACTCAATTATGATAAAATCAATTCTACCAAACTCAATTTTACTAGAATCAATTTTGTCCACCACCAATCCAAACACACCCTTACAAGTTATTTTGTAACCGTGATGTACACAAAGATTCAGAACAAGGGACATTAATCAAAACCAGCATAAATGTTTGATCAAGAAAAAGAGCAAAAGTCCTGTAATCATTGCTGAATTTTAACATTTACTATTTTATGAGACCTCATTGAAGAGTCCAATGTACTAAATTATTAGGCATTGAAAATATCAAAAGCTTCCATACACCATAAATGCCATATATTTCCAGTAGTGAGCTATCAACATGGAAATGGAAAAATGAAAACTAGCTTAAGAATTATGGACAAAGAAATGAACTTAGCTTTTCATAGAAAATTACTTCACTTCACCTGTCAGGATGCATAGAAACAGAGAAAATTATAGGAACAAATGAATGGAACAGAAGTAAGCATAGAGTTGATTCGCACCATACATAAGCCAGAAAACATGTAATCATTTAAACATGAACATAGAGAAAACTGAACAAAGCAAAAGAAAGCACAATACATAAACCCCCATATAAACCATAACAAAGGACCATTTAGTAACCAAAACAAATACGAGAAGTGAAATAATGCATTTCAGCAAGGGGTAAACCGACCAACACAAACTAAAAAACGTTAAAAATGAATCTGGGTAAGAATGTCATTTCAAGCGATGTCACCTCAGACGAAATGGCAAGTTGCTGGATCTAGAAGAAGGAAGTCATATTGTTGTTGGAGCTTGAAAAAATGACGAGAGGGAAGGATGATGTACCAAAAAGAAGACAAGGACAATGAAGTCCAATGGTTTGAAAGGATAAAGGGAATTCTTAGCAGGATATCTATTATAAATATATAAAAACAAAAGTATTTAGAAATTATACAACAAGTCTAATCTAATATAATTATAAGCGGTAAAATTGATAATGTTTAATTTACAGTGATTTGGCATACTTTAAATGAGGCTGATGTTAGGGGTGTTCAAAATCAAACCGGCTTAATAGAAAATCCTAAAATCGAATTGAACCAAATCGAAACCGTAAAAAACTGTATTTAGTTCGGATGCATTTGGGTTATTTTCTCACAGAACCGCGTGGTTCGATTCGAATTGCGGTTTGTATTTTACAAACCAAACCAAATCAAACAAAACCGCATTATGTTATAAAATCTTACTAATCAATATATATTTCTTTAATTTTTTAGAGAAATCAACATGTATTATGTGTATATTTTATCATACTTTGTATTATATTATTTTAATTTACAAATCATAAAAAAATAAAATATTATTCATTTATAAATACTATTTTCACAAAATATATTTTATCGTATTATTTGTATAATATTTATTTAAGAATGCAATCTTGTCTATATTATTCTTTAGATTTAGATAAAATTATAATACGTAATTTTATGTATTAAATTATAAATTTATTTTGACAATTATAAATTTTTTTATGGTAATGTATGAACAATTAAATGTAAAATTATATTTTCCTCTATATTTGTATTTATGGTTTAATAATTTTTTTTGTAAAAAATCGAACCAACCGAACCAATCCAAACTGCATTAGCTTGGTTTGGTTTGGTTCGGATTTATTTTTAAAATCCAACCGAACCAAACCAAACCGCATATTTTTTCTCTCTTGCGGTTCAGGTAATTTTTTACTTCAAAACCGCTCAAACCGCACCGCGAACACCCCTAACTGATGTGGCATATTTAGAAATTTTATTATGTTTTATATTATTTTTATTTCATTAATATTTCACTAATGACATTATTTATCATTATTTTCTGATGATACTTTTATACTTGCAACCAAATATGAACATGAAGCGGAAATGAATGATAAACTCACAATTTACAATCCAAAAAACCCTTTCCCAAGAAGCAACTGTTTGATTTTCTGCTGAACCATCATACTTTTCAAACCCTACATTTGTTCTTCATCCAAGAATTTTCACCTGATTTGAACAGGATCTAAAAACACGATTATGATCTCAACAACTTTTGGAAACGATTTTCTTCATAATTTTTTTTCTTATCTACGAAACTAGAAGGAAATTTTGCGTCTAAAAGCGTTTTGTCCTTCCACCAATAAAATCGTTAAGATCCAACTGCATTCGACGCATCCATGGATGGTAATCACCGATGATTCAGATCGAGTATTTGTTTGGAACTGAGAGCACCGTCAGGTGAAACTTATATCTGATGGGTGTTATAAAATGATTATTTTATTTTCTATTTATTCGTAAGTAACTGAAGGTTTTTGATTTTGGTTTCATGGCTTATATTTTTCGAAGTTGCGATTTGCTGAGTTGAAGCTTGAGAGCGATATCATCAAGAAAGGGTTATGAAAAGGAGAAGAATAATCCTTCTAATTATAACTTTAGGTTCTAATTTCCTCTGTAGTTCTATGACCTATCTCCCTCTTTTATTTTCACCACTCTGTTTTTTTAATTTGCTGGTTACTACAGTTCACATGGTTTTGATGGATACTAAAAAGGGTTAGAAGGAATATGTTGTTGGGTTTTCAAGCGTCTCGCGATTCTATATCAAAAGCATAAAGACACTACATTCAGATTATGATTGATTTTGTTATTGTGTTAGTTGTGAATTTTGTTTGATAAATCTGAGCATGAGTTGTTTGTTAATCGTGTGTGTATGTATGTATTTTGAATGATATATTTTATGTATGATACTGATTTTGTTCTCATGCATTTGCAGGTCGAATACATATCGATGCATATCAAACTGATGATGAAAAGGACATGCTCAGTAGGAGCTGTTATTCGTTGAAATTGAATATATGCAGAAGAGGGTTAGTATTTTTCTTTGCATTTAAAAAGTGATTATTCAAAAGTGATTATTTAAAAAAGTACTTTTTTATAACAAAAAAATTGTAGCAAACAAATCCTATATCATAATGTGTATTGCCCTAAGTTCCAAAATATGAGCATCAACTCTCACTTCTTATGTTTAAGAAATTTCATAAATTATTTTAAAATTATTTTTTTATTTTTATTCGCCAATTAAGTTTTTGGTTCGTCAGAATGTTAAAGACAATTTGCGACATGGAAGGCTATGCTGATATTGGACCATGGAAGGCTATGCTGATATTGGATGATGGACATATTCATTTTCTAATGTGTTTTTTGGGTGTATTTCATTACAAATGGAAGAATATCAAGGTGCTTATAAGGTTACTTAAGTGTTTTATTCAAATTGAAGAAAATTTAAAAACAGAAGAGTTGATTTGCATCGTATTCTTTGACAAACTCAACATACTTAGTTTAGTGGATAAACATTTTAAGCTTTATAATTCTATTTGTAATGCTTATCAGCATTTTATCTTTTTTTATAGTTCAACCGCTAATCCACCATTTTGGATCCTGTTCTGGACTGGGTCCTCCCTGGCTCAAAAGCAAGAGCAAAGACCCAATCCAAGTGACTCCTCGAGAAGCACGCGCCCGTAGATTCCCGCCAGCGCACCCGACCACAGACTACAACCTTGCCCATCATTGCCCGCGACACATTGTGTCCCCGACCACGAGAACTCCAGCTCGAGCCCAGCTCGAGCACCCTCCTCGTAGGGCAGATTCTGACTGTTACCAAATCACCCGAACTCCGGAAAGACCGCGTCTTCGTCCCTCCTCATTTCTCACAGAGCATCACCAGGAAGGAGACCACGTGCCGGTCCCCACTACACACGTAGAACCTGGCAGTTCCTTTATTGAGCCAGTTCTGGTCGACCCAATAAGGGGACCTTGGCCCCGCGCTGGGGGCTATAAATACCCTCTGTTCCTAGAGGGTCAGGTATTCATCTCTTACACATATATACACTTTTTTCCTGCTCATTCTGTCACTCATTTTAGCATTGGAGTGCCTTGCAGGTACCCCCCCCCCCCCATCTCACTCAAATTCTACTCGGAGCCAGTCGTGACGGTCCAAGTCTGATCAGGTAAGATCAGTGGCGCCGTCTATGGGAAACTAGCTTCCCCGTCTTGCAAAACCTCAAAGACCAAAGCTCAAAATCACCTCCTACCGTCATGGCTGACCAAGTTGGGGATGACAAAACATTCGCGTCGTCGACACCAACAACGGCCTCGCAGATAAAAATGGAGTCCCCGACAACACCGGTAACCCCAGTCATAACACACTCCCCGGGGGAACCATCCCCGGGCCCTCAACCCACCGCGACGGAGCTACTGCCTCATCCTCCTCAGTCCCTCCGCCGCTCGAGGAAGACAATGTAGCTCCCACAAACCATCGAGCTGCCCAATTTCAGGAAGTCCTTGTCCCCACCGGGGCAGATGCCACAACCCGCGCACTATTCGCGACTATCAACCAGACGAATTACCTCATCTTTGCCCAAGGGGAAAGATTGAGGGCGCTAGAAGACGATAGAAGGCCCGCGAGGAGACACAGGAGGCCCCAGACTCCACCTCCTCGAGTAACAGAGGTACATCTCCCGTCTCCCCCGCGGAGACAATACAGAGACGCCTCCTGAAGCCCGTCACCCCGACCCTCGGGGAGACGACCCCCGTTGGAGAGGCAACCCATCATCGATGCCGGAGGGCGCAACCATGGCCCCATACGGCAAGAAAGAAGACACTCCGGAGACAGGCACGGAAGAATCGACCAACGAGCACCACGCTCGAGGGATGCCCAGCACGACCAGGACCGTCAGGCGCGACAATATTATAGGTCCCCATCCCTGTCCTCGGAGCAAAGTGACGAGGACGACCCCCGCAGTCCCCTGTCACAAGCCATCATGGAGGCGCCCATTCCCCCAGGCATGGAGAAGCCTCCACATCTGAAGGAATACGACGGAGTCGTGGACTCGGTCGACCATATAGACGGGTTCGAGGCTATGCTGCACTACCACAACGTCGGGGGACCCATCAAATGTCGGTTGTTCCCCATGACCCTCAGAAAGGCAGCAATGGATTGGTATAAAGGCCTCGCTCTGGGATCAATCACCTCGTGGCGAAACCTGAAGAACCAATTCATAAGTTCGTTCACTGCATCTCGACGACACCCAAAGACTGAGGCGGCTCTCGAGGCCATCATCTAGAGACAGGATGAAACCTTGAGAGAGTTTATTAATCGCTTCAATCGCGAAGCCATACAGGTCCCCTGCGTGGACCACATGAAAAGGTATTTGCTGGAGAGGGGGCTCCTCCCCGGCACAGAATTCAGAAAGGCAGTGGGCATCGAACCGCCCCGAACATTTGATGCCTTCCTCGAAAAAGCCCGGGAATATATGGATTACGAGGAAAGGGAGGCGGCCAACAGAGCCCGGGACCCCAGGAATCGCGGATCCAGCAGCAACCCGCGCCAGGAAGCTGCTCCTCCTTGACGAGCCAGGGAGAAAAGAAAAGAGGACAAACCCCGAGAAGTCCGAGAGCAAAGAGGACCCTCGGGGAGTTTTACCGAATACACTCCGCTCACAGCTTCTCGCGAGCACATTTTGGCGGAGTGTGCCAGCACAGATTTTAAAGACAGCAGTGTCAAACGCCCCCGACCTGCCCCCGCCAAGCCCGGAGCAGACAAGAGCAAATACTGTCAGTACCATAGGAGCCATGGTCATCTGACTGAAGACCGCGTCCACCTCAAGGACGCCATCGAAACCCTCATCAAGGGAGGGAGGCTCGCCCAATACCGGCGAAATGACGCTCCCCGCCGTGACGCCCGGGAGACAAGAGAACCGGAGGAAGACGCCCGACCATCTGACGAGTCGGTACCCGTCCAGACCGCCTTCTCCGTCACTAGACCGGAGGACTTCTACGTCCCCAAACACCTGCAGGAGCCGCTCACGAAACACAGCAGGTGGGAATACTTTCCCTCCGCCATGGTCATCAATGGTGGAGGATTCAACGACCTAACTATCAATTCGGCTAAAAGAAAGCTGGATGAACTGGTTGACGCGGCACCTCCGCAAACAGTGACCTTTGAAAGGGTAAAAGGTAGGTCGGAGCTCATCACCTTTTACCTCGAAGAGCTCCCCGGAGGAGCCCCCAACGCAGTCATTCCTCTACTAATAAGAGCGAGAATGGATAACTTTGATGTGCACCGCATCCTCGTCGACGAAGGAAGTTCCGTCGACGTGATGTACAGTAAGTTATTCCGGACTCTACAGCTAGACGACTCGCACCTCTCGCCATATGTAGGGTCGGACTTACAGGGCTTCAACGACTCGACCTCTAAGCCTTGGGGGTATATAGAGCTCATGGTTACCTTCAGAGAGGGCACGACGATGAGGCAAGTTAAAGTACGCTTCCTCATCATCGACTGCCCGTCCCTCTACAACTGCATCCTGGGGAGACCAACACTGGCAAAACTGACCGCAGTACCCTCCACCGTCCACTTGAAGATGAAGTTCTACACCAAGAGGGAAAGGGTAGCTACCATCCAGGGGGACCTAGCCGCTGCTCAAAGGTGTTTCAACGCCACATCTAAAGGACGCGACACTGTCGACACCGGGATAAGGCCCGCCAAGAGACCGACGACAACATGACAGGAGCCCGACAAATTAGAGCCCGCCAAGGTAGAAGACCAAAGAGCTCCCCCAAAGGTCGACTCCATAGCTCTGGATACCCGATTCGATCAGGACGAACCTCCCAACGGTAAGCGAATCCCCCTCCGACCAATCCCGGACGGGGACTTTGAGCTCGTCCCCCTCGGTGCAGACCCGAGCAAAGGAGTGAAGATTGGCATCGACCTCCCCGACCTGGCAAGGAAGCAGATCAAAGCCTGCTTGCGCGAGAATAACGACCTGTTCGCCTGGAGCTCCACGGAGATGCCTGGACTCGACCCTGAGGTCGCCTGTCACCGCCTCGCCATAGATCCTGCCGCTAAGGCCGTAGTACAACGTAGGCGTAGGCAGTCTCCGGAGAAAATGAAGGCTACTGAAAA